AGGAAAGAAGAAAAGAAGAAAGAATGTAGCTATGCTAGCACAATATGTCTTCTTTTTAGTGTGTTTTTTCTTTAATGAGTAAGAAGAACCCTCCTTCTTTCTTCTGATTCATTTTTGCTTCTTAAGTCATTTTATGAGACAGCAGACTAGAAGTCTGCTTGCTTCTTAGTTCCAGTTGCTTGGAATAACCTTTTTCTACTCTTTTCCCCTAACATGATATTTATTATTCATCAAGTGTTATGTTCCAGGGGGGCAGCAAAAATACATATTCTGTTTTCTGATCCAATCTGCTCCTCTGTGTTTTTTTTTTATTGAGGAGTTGATGCCATTAGCATTATGAGTTATTATTTTAAAATATGCATTAATTTGCATGGTTCTGTTGTTTTGTGGTTTTTTTTTTTTTTTTTTTTTTTTTTTTTTTTTGCTTTTTTCGAGGCAGGGTTTCGCTGTGTAGCTTTGCGCCTTTCCTGGAACTCACTTGGTAGTCCAGGCTGGCCTCGAACTCACAGGGATCCGCCTGCCTCTGCCTCCCGAGTGCTGAGATTAAAGGCGTGCGCCACCACCGCCCGGCTGTTGTTTTGTGGTATTTTATTAAACCTCTTTTGAATCAGTGTTCTAGAATTTTCTATTTGTTCCTTTGGATTTTTTGGTCATATCTAATGATCTCTTCAGATATAAGTATTCCTTCCAGTACCCTCCTCAAAGTTGGTCTTTTGGTTATAAATTCTTTAAATCTGTTTTTACCATGTAAAGTTTTTTCTCCCTCCATTATAATCAATAGTTTTCCTGGGTCCAGGCTGGCATCAGTGGTCTTTATAACTTGTAAGACATCAGTCCATTCCCTTCTGGTTTTTATAGTCTCCATTGAAGAACTTGCTGTTTTTTTAATGGGTCTACCATTATATATGGCTTGATCCTTTCCTCTTGATGCTTTCAATACACTTTTGTTGTTGTTCTTTTGTACACTTACTGTTTTAACCATTATATGACATAGGAAGTTGTTTTTTCTAGTCCAGTCCATTATTTGTTCTGTATTCCTCTTTGACTTTAATAAATATCCCATTGCAAAAACATAAACATGGCCGGGCGGTGGTGGCGCACGCCTTTAATCCCAGCACTCGGGAGGCAGAGCCAGGCGGATCTCTGTGAGTTCGAGGCCAGCCTGGGCTACCAAGTGAGTTCCAGGAAAGGCGCAAAGCTACACAGAGAAACCCTGTCTCGAAACCCCCCCCCCAAAAAAAAAAAACATAAACATGACTAACTAAGATGATAAGGCCATGCCAAGAGTGTTCAGTGAGGATGTATGGAGTTGGCAGCAGGAGTCTATGGTCCTTACCTGAAGGGAAGCAAGAAGGCAGCACAAGACACAGGGTCCTCAAGCAGGCCATGTGGTTGGGGAAAATTGTTAGTGTGAATCTTAGTCCCTTACCTGGAGAGGGGATGCACTTGGGTCCTGTGGATGAGTGATGTTGGTAGCAAAATTCCAGGGTCTCTGCCTAAAGATAGAGCCAAGAACACGTGGCAGGAATGGATGGGGTTGATGGAGACTGAATCCCTATCTGATGAAGTTAATCTGCTTGATAATAATAACCATTTCACATGCAAGCAAATCAAAACATATTGAATAACTTAAATCTATGTAATGTTTATATGTTTTATATTTTTGTAAGTCTTTTTAGCTTTTTATCTTTTGAGGATTTCTTAGATGCATATAATGTATTTTGATCGAATCCACTCCCATGTCCTCCCCATCAATTTTCCCCTAACCCCTCACCACTCACTATTCCTTCTCAATATACTAATTTTTTAAAAAAGAATTAAGGACACTTATTGTGCTTCTATGTGCATTTGTGTAGGACCATCTACCAGAGAACCATTACCTTCTCGGAGAATGCATGCCTTGAGAAAGCTGACACTCCCCCCCCCTCACGGAGTCATCAACTACCAATATTTTCTTGCCTGGGGGAGAGACTTCCTGAGAGTCTCCCCCATCTCTGCTGGGATTTTGGCTGGTTTGATCTTGTAAAATATAGTTATTACAAAAAAGAGAGGTTCTTACACATTATGAACACTGTGAAATACATTAATTTTCACACAGTTAAAGATTATGAAGGTTGTTATTCTTTTTTAGTATATCCATTACTATTATTTGTGTTTTTCTATTATTTAAATAAATATGTAGATAATAGAAGAGTAGATAATTTGATGACAATTTAAAATTCATATTAATGATTAATTTTTCTTTCAATATTTTACTTCATAGTAGGGTATTTGAAGCCCCAACCCTCACAACATACCACCTAATTGACCATCTACAGAACTGTCAGTTAGATGCAATTACATTTAAGCTGGAGTTTCAATCATTGCCGCAATGGCCAAACATGCTTTGAGAATTTAAGCTGTGTGTTGTACATTGACAGTAGGAGTTCCTAGTTTAAAAAATAGCAAAATTATTACGTGTAATTCCTTTTAGTAAGGAAGATGTAACCCTATTAGTTGGTGTGAAATTAATGACATGCTATTTTAATGCTCACTTCTTAACCAAAGATTTCAAAAGACTAGAAGGCTGTCAGACATGAAAGGAAATTAAGGGTTTGATTTCAAAAGACATTCAAATTAACAACAAATAGAAACTTTTCCTTTAAACCCTCTCAAATAGCTGAGTGTAACTAGGAAAGAATATCAATCACAAAAGGAAGTTTATTTTCCATATTGATAAAAACTGTATGACAGTTCTGGAAAAGTATGCTAATTTATCTCTATAAAATGTGAAGTGGACAGGCTTGATTAGTGAATTCATTAGTCCATTTCTTTAAATCTTTAGTGCTTTCTCACAAATATGTTAAAATATAAAAGAAGTATGGAGACAATAAACTAGAACTGTTTAAAGAGATTGACAGCTTCAGTATGAATAAGGAATTTCTGTCATTTTCTAATGAAGCAGACAGCATTGGGAAGTGAACTAACAGTGCCTGGAGTTGATAGTTGATTAGAAATCACAGGAATGTGTGTGAGTGTGGACATACACCTGTGTTAGTGATATGTCTGTTTTCTCAAAAAGTTTGTGAAAACTACTTAAAGTCTATGCTAAATTGCCAAAATTTAAGATAAAATTTTTTTTCTAGTTCCATCCATTTGCCTGCAAATTTCATGACATCACTTCTTCTTTTTTTGTTGTTTTTTTTGTTTGTTTGTTTGTTTTTGCTTTTTTGGAGACAGGGTTTCTCTGTGTAGCTTGGCGCCTTTCCTGGATCTCACTCTGTAGACCAGGCTGGCCTCGAACTCACAAAGCTCCACCTGCCTCTGCCTCCCAAGTGCTGGGATTAAAGGCGTGCGCCACCACCGCCCGGCTTGACATCACTTCTTTAAGGAGCTGAGTAATACTCAATTGTGTAAATTTACAACATTTTCTTTATCCATTCTTCTGTTGTTTCCAGTCCCTGGCTAGTATGAATGGAGCAGCAAAGAACATGGTTGAGCAAGTATCCTTATAGCAGGATGAAGTGTTTTTTGGGTATATGCACAAGAGTAGTACAGCTGGGTCCTGAAGTAGATTGATCTCAACATTCCAAGGAACTGCCATATTGATTTCCAAGAATGCTGTACAAGTTTCACTCACACCAGCATTGTAGGGGCTAGTTTTCCCATTATTCCACATCCTCACCAGCATGAGCTGTCACTTTTATTATTGAACTTGGCAATTCTGACAGTATAAGATGGAATCTCAAAGTAGTTTTGATTTGCATTTCCCTGATGTCTAAGATGTTGAACTTCTTTACAAGTTTCTCAGCTATTTCAGATTCCTCTATTGAGAATTCTCTGTTTAGACCAATACCCCATTTTTTCAATTGGATTTTGTTTTTGATATCTAGTTTCTTGAGTTATTTATATATTTTGAAAATTAGTCCTTTTTGGGTATGAAGTTGATAAAAAATTTTCCCATTCTATAGGCTGCCACTTTGAGTGATAGTGTCCCTTGCTGGCAGAAGCTTTTCAGTTTTATGAGGTTCCATTCATGAATTACTGTTCTTTTTTTTTTTTTTTTTTGCCTGAGTCGGTGACTTTATTGTGTGCCTTGGAGGATAGATGTTACACATGGGACCCCAGATGGTGTTTCATGTGCACCCTGATGGATGTTTTATGTGCTCCTGTAGTGGTGTTTCATGTGGGGCTCCCACGGAAGATGTTTCACATGGAATCCATGGGCAGGTTTTACATGTAGGGGCCCAGCGGCTGGGTGTTTCACATAGCACTGGCTGGATGTTTCACGTGCTGGCGTGGCAGATGTTTGCTTTTGTTCCGTAAGTGGGCAGATGTTCGCTGTGGCTCCCGTGGGCGGGTGTTGGATGTGGCTCTCATATGGTGTTCCAGTGGCTCCCGTGGCAGGTGTTGGATGTGGCTCTCATATGGGGCACTCCAGTGGTCTAGTGTCTTTGTGTGGCTCCCGTGGCAGGTATTGGATGTGGCTCTCATATGGTGCTCCAGTGGTCTAGTGGTTTTGTGGCTCCCGTGGCAGGTGTCCAGGTACCCTAGTATGCCAGGTGTTGTAGAAGCCAGCAGTGTCTTGGGCAGCGCAGCTGGTAACTATAACCTGGCCATTTACAGGTGATCTCCGTGGTGGACTCGGACATATACTCCAGAGAGGAATCGGAATGACATGGGGCCAGCTCGGGCACCGAGCTGCTGCCGGCCACCTCCGAAGCCTGTGCCTTCTGCCCCTGCTTGTTGTTCTTGGAACCCGCATCCCCTGGATCGCTGCCAGCCTGGTTGTGATCAGGGGATGGGCTGGGCGACCGCGCCCTGGGTGAGCCCTGGTTGGAGACGCTGACGCGCTGTGTGGAGGTGGGTGCAGATGCTGCTGTGGCTGCTGCTGACCGGCTGGTCGGCTGAGCTGCTGCTGAGGCCTGAGGGGTCTGCTGGTTGGCACCCATGTGACGGCCTGTTGTCCGAGCGGTTCCTGCGGTCCGGACCGCTGACTGTAAACCCCCCCCCCCCCCCCCCAGAGCGCATGGCCGGTTGAGAGGGCCCCAAGGAGGTACTGGGCAGCCGGGTACGCTGTGCAGGCCTGGAAGACACACTGCCCCGGCTATGATGGCCCCGGGCCTTGCTGGGAATCTGGGAGCCGCTGACAGAGCCAGTGGCCAGCTGGCCCCGGGATGCATTAGTGGAACCTGGGCTGACTGGAGACGGAGACTGCCCATTCACGGCCCGTAACGGGCTTCCTGTTGGCTTGCTTGGGCTCGAGACTCGGCGTTGATGTTGGGTCTCTGTGTGGGAGTCCAAGGAGGAGTCAGAGGCCTGGGCGTCAGCTGTGTGCTCCTTGTCGTTGGCCAGGGGCTCCGCGCACAGACTGCCATGGGACCTCACTTGTGCTTCAGGAGCAGGGTCTGACTTGTCTTGGCGTCCCGGGTTATCCCAGCTGCTATGTCCAATGCTCTTCCGCTGAGCTGATTCACGGCGCTGTCTAGGGCCACGTGGTGTTTTAGAAATAGTGGTCGTATGACGCGATGGTATAGTATTAGAGCCCCATTCCAGGGCCCCGGAGTCATGCAGAATAACAGGAAGGCGCACTTGCCCGCGTAGTAGAAAGGGAACCAGAACAGGAGTAGATCGCTGAAGAACTCGACCAGACCGAACAGGGCGTACACCACCCAGTAGGTTAGCCACACAGTGTCGTCTTCCTTGCTTGGGCTGTAGATGGCTTTGACTGAAGCATATGCGGGGTATACAAATCCGATGACATTGCACAGTAGAGAGGCCCCGTAGCCGAACAGAAGATACAGGCTTAGGAGGGCGAGGGCTCCCACGGCGAGATACCGCTTCTCTACACCGGTCCTGGCTTCGAGCGCCCCGAGAGCTTCGGTGGCTATGTTCTTCTGTTCTAGAAAACGCTCGAAGCGCTGGCGCAGACCGTCCATGGCAGCGGCGGGCCCGGGGCAGGCCGCTCAAGCACACCCGCAGCCTCGCGCACCGGCGCCCTCGAGAGCGCACAGCCTTCACCGCCCGCGCACCGCCCGGCCCCGCCCCCCGAATTACTGTTCTTAGTGCCTGCACTATCTGTTCTGTTCCTGTGCCAAGGAACTCAAGGCTATTCCCCACTTTCTCTTCTATCTGTTTTTAAATTGAGATCACTGATCCATTTGGACTTAAGTTTTGGGTAGGGTGATAAGTATGGATCTATTTGCATTCTTCTACATACAGCCATCCAGTTGACCACCACCATTTGTTGAAGATGCTGTTTCTTTTCCAATGTGTTTTTCTGGCTTCTTTAAAGAAAAATTATGTGTCCATAGATGTGTGGTTTTATGTGTGGATCATTAATTAGGTTCCATTGATCAATGCGTCTGTTTTTATAATGGTACCATGCAGTTTTTTTTTTTTTTTTTTTTTTTTAAGATGGTCTGTAGTGCAACTTGAAATTTGGAATGATGTGTTCTTTTATTGTTCAGGGTTTTTTGAGTGATCCCAGGTGTTTTGTTTTTCCGTATGTAGTCTACAATTGTCCTTTCAAGGTCTGTAAAGAATTGTGTTGGAATTTTTATGGGGATTTCATTGAAACTGCAGATTACTTTTGGTAGAATGACCATTTTTACTTTGTTAAGCCTACTGATCCATGAGAATGGGAGATATTTCCTCCATCTTCTGACATATTCAAATTCTTTCTTCAAAGACTTAAACTTTTTGTTTTGTTTTGTCACTGAAATTGTTTTTAATTATATTTGGTTTCTTATGGTCAATTTCTTTTTTTTAATTTTTTTATTTTATTTTGCAATACAATTCAGTTCTACATATCAGCCACGGATTCCCTTGTTCTCCCCCCTTCATCCCCTTCCCCCTAGCCCACCCCTCATTCACACCTCCTCCAGGGCAAAGCCTCCCCTGACGACTGAGATCAACCTGGTAGACTCAGTCCAGGCAGGTTCAGTCCCCTCCTCCCAGGCCGAGCCAAGTGACCCTGCATAAGCCCCAGGTTTCAAACAGTCAACTCATGCAATGAGCACAGGACCCAGTCCCACTGCCTGGGTGCCTCCCAAACAGATCAAGTCAATCAACTGTCTCACCCATTCAGAGGGCCTGATCCAGTTGGGGACCCCTCAGTCATTGGTTCATAGTTCATGTGTTTCCATTCGTTTGGCTATTTGTCCCTGTGCTTTATCCAACCTTGGTCTCAACAATTCTTGCTCATATAAACCCTCCTCTTTCTCACTAATTAGACTCCCGGAGCTCCACCCGGGACCTAGCCATGGATCTCTGCATCCAGTTCCCTCAGTCGATGGATGGGATTTCTAGCATGACAATTAGGCTGTTTGGCCATCCCATCACCAGAGTAGGTCAGTTCAGGCTGTCTCTCGACCATTGCCAGCAGTCTGTTGTGGGGGTATCTTTGTGGATTTCTGTGGGCCTCTCTAGCACTTTGCTTCTTCCTATTCTCGTGTGGTCTTCATTTACCATGGTCTCCTATTCCTTGTTCTCCCTCTCTGTTGTTGATACAGCTGGGATCTCCCGCTCCCCCAAGCTCTCTTTCCCTTGACCCTTGCCCTTCATTACCCTGACTCAAGTCCAGGTTGTTCATGTAGGTCTCATCCATTTCTCTGTCATTGGGCGATCCCTGTGTCTTTCTTGGGGTCCTGTTTTCCAGGTAGCCTCCCTGGTGATGTGAGTAGCAGTCCAGTCATCCTTGTTCCACATCGAGTATCCTCCTATGAGTGAGTACATACCATGTTTGTCTTTCTGAGCCTGGGTTACCTCACTCAGGATGATTTTTTCTAGATCCATCCATTTGCCTGCAAACCTCATGATGTCATTGTTTTTCTCTGCTGAGTAGTATTCCATTGTGTATATGTACCACATTTTATTTATCCATTCTTCAGTTGAAGGACATCTAGGTTGTTTCCAGGTTCTGGCTATTATAAACAATGCTGATATGAACATAGCTGAGCAAGTGCTCTTGTGGTATGATTGAGCATTCCTTGGGTATATGCCCAAGAGTGGTATAGCTGGATCTTGATGGAGATTGATTCCCAATTTTCTAAGAAAACACCATATTGATTTCCAAAGTGGTTGTACAAGCTTGCATTCCCACCAGCAGTGGAGGAGAGTTCCCCTAGCTCCACATCCTCTCCAGCATAAGATGTCCTCACTGTTTTTGATCTTAGCCATTCTGACAGACATAAGGTGGTATCTCAGAGTTGTTTTGATTTGCATTTCCCAGATGATTAGGGATGTTGAGCAATTCCTTAAATGTCTTTCAGCCATTTGAGTTTCCTCTGTTGAGAATTCTCTGTTTAGTTCTATAGCCCATTTCTTAATTGGACTGTTGAGCATTTTGATGTCTAATTTCTTGAGTTCCTCATATATTCTGGATATCAGTCCTCTGTCAGATGTGGGGTTGGTGAAAACCTTTTCCCATTCTGTAGGCTGTTGCTTTGCCTTGTTGACCGTATCCTTTGCTCTACAAAAGCTTCTCAGTTTCAAGACGTCCCATTGATTGATTGTTTCTCTCAGTGTCTGTGCTGCTGGTGTTATATTTAGGAAGTGATCTTCTATGCCAATGCATTCAAGACTACTTCCTACTTTCTCTTCTAGTAGGTTCAGAGTAGCTGGATTTATGTTGAGGTCCTTGATCCACTTGGACTATGTATGTGTACTATCATATCATCTGCAAATGAAGATACTGTGACTTCTCCCTTTCTAATTTGTATACAAGTGATCTATTCAGCTTTCTTACTGCTCTAACTGAGAATTCAAGTACTATATTGAATAGATATGTTAAGAATGGACAACCTTGCCTTGTTCTTGATTTTAGTGGAATTTCTTTGAGTTTCTCTCCATTTAATTTGATGTTGTCTATAGGCTTGCTGCAAACTGCCTGCCTTATCTTTAGATATGTCCTTTGTATTCATAATATCTTCAGTATTTTTATTATAATTGGGTGTTGATTTTTTGTCAAAGACTTTTGATGCATCTAATGGGATGATTATGTTTTTTCTTTCAGTTTGTTTAAATGGTGAATTATACTTATTCCATACACTGAACCATCTCTGTATCTCTGGGAAGAAGTCAACTTGATTATGATGAATGATATTTTTGATGTATTCCTGGATTAAGTTTGCAAGTATTTTATTGAGTATTTTTTATTTATGTTCATTTGGAAAATTGGTTTGGAATTCTCTCTCTTTCTTGGGTCTTTGTGTGGTTTAGGCATGAGGGTGACTGTGACCTCATAAAATGAATTTAGCATTGTCCCTTCTATGTCTATATTGTGGAATAATTTGAGGAATATTGGCATTAACTCTTCTTTGAAAATCTGGTAGAATCTTGTACTAAAATCACATGACTCTGGACTTTTTTTGGTGGGAGACTTTTAATAACTGCTTTTTAATTTAATTTGGTTATCTGATCTTGATTTAAGTTTGGTAAGAGGTATCTATCAAGGAGATTATCCATTTCTTTTAGATTTTTCCAATTTGGTGGAATACAGTTTTTTAAAGTATGCTCTTATGATTTTCTGGATTTCGTTTGTGTCTGTTGTTATGCCCCTTTTTTTTTGCTTCTGATTTTGTTAATTTGGATAGTCTCTCTGTGTCTTTTAGTTTCTTTGGATGAGAGTTTGCCTATTTTGTTGATTTTCTCAAAGAAGCAACTCTATTTTTTCTTTTTAAAATTTGTTTATTTATTTTACACCTAACCGCATTTTCCCCTCCCCTTCTTTTCTCAGTCCTCCACCCACTGACCTCCCCTAAGCCTCCCCAATCCACTCCTCCCCCATCTCTATTCAGAAAAGGGCAGACCTCTCATGAATATCAAAATAAAACATGGCATACCAAATTACAGTAAGACTAAGCACCTCTCCTAACATTAAGGCTAGACAAAGAAACCCAGTATGAGGAATATGGTCTCAAAAGCTGGCAAAAGAGTCAGAGACAGCCCTTTCTCCCACTGTTAGGAGTCTCACAAGAAGACCAAGTTACACAACTGTCACATGTATGCAGAGGACTCAGGTCAGTCCCATGCAGAATCCCTGGTTATCTATCAGTTCATTCTCTGTAAGCACCTAGGAGCCCAGGTTAGTTGATTCTGTGGGTTTTCTTGAGGTATCCTTTACCCCTCTAGCTTCTACAGTCTTTCCTCTCCCTGCTTCTTTCCCAAGATTGTCCTAGCTCTTAATGTTTGGCTGTGGGTCTCTGCACATGCTGCTGGATGAAACCTCTATGATATCAATTGGACTAGGCACCAATCCCAGTACATCCTGCAGTCTGTGCAGTTTGTAGGTAGAAGGTTATGTAGCCAGGTTGGTGTCCAAATCTCTCTACTGGAAGTTTTGCCTGATCACAGGAGATGGCCAGTTCAGGTTATATATCCCCTATTACAAGGAGTCTAGCTGAGGTCATCCTTGTAAATTCCAGGGAGTTTCCCTTGGACTAGGTTTATACCTGACCCTGCAATGCCCCCCTTTTCCAGTCATTTTTTCATTACTCTTCTTGTCCACCCTGGGACCTGACCCCTCATATTCCCATCTCCACCTGTCCCCAGTCTACACATGAAATCTATCTTATTTTCCCTTCTCAAGGAGAGAGAAGTGACCTCCTCCAGTCTCTCCTTTTTACCTAACATCTCTGCATCTGTGGATTGAAGCATGAAGAATCAATTCTTTGTTACATTGATTCTTCGTATTGTTCTCTTTGTTTCTAATTTATTGATTTCAGACCTGAGTTTGATAATTTCTTGCTGTCTACTCCTCTTGAGTGTAATTACTTCTTTTCATTCTAGAGTGTAACTAGATTTTTCCTGCCTGGCCCACAGTCAGGACAAATCTCTGTCACCCGCCAGTCCCACAGCCTCTCAGACCCAACCAAGTAAACACAGAGACTTATATTGCTTACAAACTGTATGGCCGTGGCAGGCTTCTTGCTAACTGTTCTTACAGCTTAAATTAATCCATTTCTATTAATCTATACCTTGCCACATGGCTCATGGCTTACTGGCATCTTTACATGCTGT